TATAAAATAAACTTTTTTTACCCTTTTCTCTCTCTCCCACTACCTCTCACTCTTTCTCTCTCATTCCCTTTCTCTTTCTTCAATGGCGATTCATCGGAAAAAAAAAAGGTGCAAGCTTTTTTCTTTTCATCCAACCCATCCATTGTTATAAGCATTTGACTAAAAAAAAAAATGAAATGAGGTGTCAAGAAGAAATAAACCCAGATGCCCTATGTTATGGAATTAGGTATGCCTGTTGTTTGGTGTAACATAGAGAGAACAAACATTTTTTCCCCACTTTAAGGTGAAAAACAATATAAGAAGAAGGAGATAAGTTGATTCGTTTCAAATTTTAACAGCAAAGTAGAAACGTTACGGTAATTGTAGATTAATTCAAATGAAGGGTTATTTGTGGTTTTTGTTTTTTTTTTTTTATAATTTTGTGGTTTCTGTCGTGTTCAATTATATCATATTCAAAAAAATTTGAAAATTATACTCATTCAGCAGAACTATCATGTCATTAATCATTGCATGTATTTAGATTTAAATATAAATTTATGTTGTAAATTACGCAAATCGATGGAGAAATGAGAGGAGAGAAAAAGAGTGTGGGAGACAATGAGGAGAAAGAAAAGGAAAATAATTTATTTTATTTTGTAAATCTTCACCGTTGGATGAAATTGTAATTTAACGGTGTTGAAAGAGGTAGGCAAATGTAGACAAAATAAAAGTAGGCAGAATAGCATATTCCTATAAATATAACCTTCCTCGTAATTATAATATGTGTATAAAGTATTTTTCATACAAAGTAAATTTTGTTGGAGATATTTAAGTGTAAGTAGTGGTATGAAGTTCCATGCTGGCTAAACAAAATTGAATGATGAACATATAAGTTTAAAAAAACCCTCAGATTTATATTTTTAATATTTTTGGTTGAGATATAATATCAGCTCACTTATTATAATTTGTCATTTGACCCAGTAATAAAATAACCCTTGTAGCTATAAAAAAAAAAAAAAAAAAAAAAAACCCTTGTAGAGTTATGAACTCGCGCGTACTATTATAAACAAATGACAATATTGTAAATCAAATTCCGTAGCGGATTGACATTGCTGGTTGAACCTTCCACCTATGTTGGCTGTGATTTTGATTTAATTATCAGTTTTCCCTGTTTATAAATGATATGTAATCCCATTCTAAATACATTTACCATTTGTCCACATGATTTAATTATGCTTTAATTTGTTACATCACTTGGGAAACCGAAACCCCTTATGATCGATTCGAAGTATCTTAATCTTAATAGGAAATGGGTTGCTCAATATGCAACATTAACAGATCTGTAGTGCGATTTACTTTTCTAAAGCTAGATGTTTTATATATTGGCCAAGTTAGAGAATCAAAGTTTAAATAAATTGAATGCCGAGGAGTCATTTTCATAAATTTCTGTTTGGATGTTGAAGAAAATGCTTGGTCCGGTATATAATATTCATAGCATATTCAGCATGACATGTTAGATGAAATCAAACCATTGTTTTAAAATAATACAAGCAAAAAAAAAAAGTATAGAGGAATCCTTCTCTTCTGAAACACAAAGAAAGGTATGCAACAATAACTAACCCACTTAGGAATCAAGAGCATGCTGCAACTTTTATCACTTAATATTAATGTAAGTTAGAATTATCCATTTAGTCTTTTTGATTTCTAATAAACTAGTTTAATTTTGTATTCAAAGAGGCAAAGTCTCGCTTGCCATTGTGAGGGGAAACTATTTAGACTTTATGGTCATAACGTGCCTGCGAGCGTGAGGTCTCATATTTGCATATTATCTCATGGTTTTTCAACACAAACTACATCTCAAAATAGGGAACATTTGTAAAGATTGACCTCAAATTTATTGACTAATTTGTAGCCAAGTTGAGTTAAACTTTACATAAAGTTATAAATTTTAGTTAAACTACAACTCTTGAGAAAATAAACCTTGGATAATGGATTGAGCTTAAATAAAGAAAGGAGAAAAAAAAAGACAACAGAAAGTTCAAGCATGCGTACCAATAATATTAAAAAGCAATAATTATTACGTAACAAGAACTAACACTTTAAAATGTGGACTAAGAAAGCCGTTGACATGCATATGAACAAGACACACAAAATCACTTGCCAGTTGCACTTAGCCTATTACCAATTTGATCATAAGAAAATCAGGGGAAGAAAATTTTTAACATATAAATCTGATTCAAATGGAAATTTGTGAACTTTGGTTGTCCAAGTGCTTTAGCATTTTGACTAAATTAAGTCACCAAACTAATGTATAATACAAACACAATGTAGAGCATAAGTATAAATTGGTCAATGGAAGACATACTGAAAAGTCTCCTACTATATACACCTCATTCCCACAGGTTAGAAAAAAAACAAATAGAGAGAAAGAAAATGCAAGAGAGAGAGAAAGCAGGAGATCATTTTCGGTGCAGTCAGTGTGCCTATGACTTCCATTCAAAAATTAACACTTGGATTAAAATAAATTCTCTTTTCCATACACGCATCCTAGAAAATGCTCCATTTTAATTGGCCAGTTACACCAAGTCAGAAGTGCGACGGGTGTACCTAAAATATTTCGATAACGAAAGAACAATCAAAAGACAGAAAAGAAATAGGAGTCTAAATCTGTCTAATGATATTGTTGACCAATCAGTCCACTTAACCAGACTCACACGGGAAGTGCAGGGAGAAAGCATATTTCTAAACTTGTTTTTTGGTTCCCCTTCTCCTGAATTGATTTAAGCTTTTGATTTAGTGGAAGATGCAATAGGAACACCATTCTTATTCATTAATTTCCACCATTTGTATTCATGATAATTTTTTTCCCACTCAGTTGGGTGGTCAAAGCCAAACTCATCTCTCTCCATTTTTTCTTACTGAACGAGTAAATTTGTTTTCATTTTATGGAAAATGATATAACCAAACTCAAGAAACTATATTGGTAACATTTTTATTGTGTCAAGTATCATATATTGTGAGGAAGGAAATGAATTTTATGCCATGGATAACTATTGCTTGGAAGAGAAAGAAGCAGATACAATCACTATATGATATTTTATTTCATTAATGCTGATAACAAAATGAGTCAATTAAAAGCAATTAGAAAACTTTATGCTGTTATTAAGGTAAGCATGTATCTTTTTTCTGATTAAACAAGCATTAGCCTATTGTAAGGAAGTGGCAGTGTGGAACTTTTGGCCTCTTTCTAATTGGATATCGAACACCACTAAAAAATTTGCTTACCTTTTCCCTCTCCATTAGAGCTATAAAGTCTTTTCACATTCAAATCATGTCTATCTTTAAGGTATGACATAAATTAATGAAGGTAATAAAATTTAGGATGTGCAAAGGAAAATTTATGAGATTTTGATCATTTATGGTAATCTTTGGTGGTTACTTTTTTTTTTTTTGGTTTCAACAGTTAATTTCAAATCTTTTACAATCATTCACAGCCATAAGCCCATAAAACAGCTTTGTTTAAATAAAGGCAGCTTGTGTGGAACAACCATGCTAATATGCAACAACATGTGACAGTTGCACAACCTCACACTCTTTCACACTCCTCAATGCAAGTTATTGGATAATATGTTGGTCCTACTATAACTTTTTTTCGGAATGGCTTACATTTTGCACATGTTTCACCTAGTTCTGTACAATGAACACAGCAGACAGATGCATTAAGAATTTCAGCCACACAATTGGCGTGGTGAGTAAATAGATGATCTTCCTTTTTCATTGAGATTACCATTAACGATGTCATCACCACGACCAAATAAACAATTAGTACCTAACCAAACTAAAAAAACATATGTGGTTGCTGATCAAAGATTTGGCTTATAGTTGCATATGTTATTGTTTTGGGAGGTCCCAGTATGAGTGGTTATTGAGTCATCAAATTCTTAACCTTTCTTTCTTGCTATTAGAAATGAGCTTGCATTTCCCAATCTCACTTTTCCTCCAATTTTCTTAATTTCATATTAAAGTGAATAGGTCCATTATCCAACAGGGAATCAGCTTTGAAATATAACATAATCAATATAATAAATTGACTTGTTGAACTCCATTTTTTCTCCTGTACCTACTTTTGCCTAAACAGTCTGCTAGTTAAATTATTATACTCCCCATGATATGAACTGCCTGTGTCTATCTGATGTAAGCATTTTTTTTTTGGTCCAAAATGATTATCCATAAACCCAAGTTGCCGCCTCCCTTGCGTCACCTAAGTGCAGCATGTCATTCACACATAGTTTGTTCAGTGAACCTAATGCCCCACATAGCACATAAACAGAACATGCATGTAATATATGTACGGATGATTTAGTGTGTCCCATTTAAAAGAATACAAGTTGTGTTTTTTTAGTGACTTATACAGAGTATGGCCGGTCATACTCTGTGTAATTCTGAAAAGTTATTTTTTTTTTAGATTTACACAAAATATGACCGGTCATACTTTGAGTAAATCATCTAAAAGGACACAACTTGTGTCCTTTTAAACGATACTTCTTTTTCCCTGCATGTACATAATAAATAAACACAACAATTTAACGTTTGGATTAGCTTTTTTTATTTTTTTTCAAAAGCTTTTTAATACCAAATAAATCAATCTAAATACATAGACAGAGGACATAAACTGCGATGCCATAAAACTCCCTCTATGCATAGGGTTGGGGGAAGGGTCAGATTCATTGTGTAAGTCTATAATAAACACTCTTACCTTACATTTACAAGAAGCTAATTACAAATACTATCACAATAGCACATCTTGGATAATTTTCTATGCTTTCAAAAAGTAAAAATAAATAAAATAAAAATCCTCAATATTGTTAATCAGGGTACATTAAGTGGGGCCATTTCACCATTTTCCCTCCCTAATTCCCTATATATACTCAGACCACTCTTGTTTCCCCCATCTTCAGAGCAATTGAATTTTCCATAAATTATTCTCCAAGACCCTTCAATCTTTTGTTCATTGCTTCACCATGCAGGCCAGGGAGATAACAGAACTCAATTATTTACTCCCTTCAGACCCTTCTCCTTACCAAGGTCACTACAACAATATGATTCAGACCAACATCCCCACATTTCAACTTCAAAAATTCTCGAATCAATTCTATGGTTTCCAGAACCTTTCTCAAGTACTTGGAGACTTTAGTCCTCCTCAATCCTCATGTATCAGCAGCAATTCAACTTCTGATGAAGCAGATGAGCAACAACAAAGCCTCATCAATGAGAGGAAACACAGAAGGATGATATCAAACCGAGAATCTGCACGCCGGTCACGGATGAGGAAGCAGAAGCACCTTGATGAGATGTGGTCACAGGTTGTTTGGCTTAGGAATGAGAATCACCAGTTAATAGATAAGCTGAACAATTTGTCAGAGTCACATGATAAAGTACTTCAAGAGAATGTTCAACTGAGAGAGGAAGCTTTAGAACTTCGTCAAATGATATGTGACATGCAGCTACGTAGTCCTTGCCCCCCCTTGAGCCCCCTTGAAGATCTTCCTTGCACATCACCACCCTTTGTCACATCTCATTCATCAAACCAATCAATCACAAGTTCTATTGACCTTCTTGGTTAAAGGCCAAGTTTTTTTTTTTTTTTTTTAATCTCTTCAATTTTTCGTCTTTTAATTTCTTCTGTTTGTGTGGAAGTGGAAAGTAGTAGTCTTTGCCTCCTATTTTAAGATGTATGAGGTGAAACCATGAACGGCAATAACATGTTTTGAGTATCTTATTTGAGTAATTTTGCCACTCCTTCTGTCTATAAATGGTTTAGTCTTTTCTAAGTTGTGATGATATGTTCTGAGCAATAAACATTTAAAGTTACTATAAACTAGAGCGGCAAAACAGGCTCGGCGGGCCATCCTGCCCAACCCGTCAAACGGAGTGGGACGGGCTTAGTTTTTCAACTCATCTCAAAAGCGAGGCGGGCTCATTTTTTGACAGGTTGATGGTGGACATAAATGGGCCGATGCAGGTCAGTGTAAAATAGATTCGGGCTGGCAGGTCATCCCGCCCAACCCGTCAAACGGGGCGGAGCAGGACAGGTTGACTCATTTTTTACGGGTTAATGGCGGGGCGGGGCGGGGTGCCCACTTTGCCACCTCTACTATAAACCTGCTACATTTATTGTTAGCATCAACTTGTTTGGCACTCAGCAGATTCAAAAACAACATCATGACACTCTCCCAGAAAACAATTTAGAAAGCCTTCATTCACGACCTCATCTTCCAGTTCCAGCAATAACCAAAGAAATCTGAACAGATAGTTAGATAAGGGGAAATAATAATAATAATAATAATTAAGAAAATATGAAGCCAAAATAACCCTTTGTATAAAATAATTGAAGTAATTATGTAAGGTGAAAGAATTGGACATGATGCAGAGATAAAAGGGTGTTGTTAAAATTTCACAATGTATTGTAACTTCAAATTTTTGTTGATATATGTTTCTCTTTTTATAGACATTAAATAGATTTGTATAATGTATTATCAAAATTTTGTGAATATATACATGTATAGATATGGACTCAATTTTTATATGATCAATTTTTACAGGAGTTCCCTTATTAGTTATTGGCTGATGATAGAAAGGTAGTTGCCGAAAAAGGAAAAACAATTGGACTGGCTACCCACTAGAATCCTCTGTACTCTGCGTTTGATGAGCTTTTTTAGAGTTAACTTGACTAAATATTATTAGAAAATAACTAGAGCTTTGGTAATTTAATTTCCATCCAGGTTTGGACACGTTGCAAACATGACCTTTGTAAAGAATCACCTCAACCCAAATTCTTAAGATGTTGGATGAGAGTCTTTTTTAATGATTTATATTATTCTCTAACAATCTTTGTATTGGCTTAATGATTCACAATTGATAATAGCTCAGTTGATACATGAAAATTGAGTATACGAAGATGAGAATATGTATTCGATTTTTATCAGTACTATTTTTTGAATGGATTTAAAGTCTTAATCTGGACCCACCTTGAACAAGATTACCTCATATGAAAAATAAATGTGATTTATAAAAATAAAAAAGAAGAAGAAAGAAAAGAAAGAAAGATTATCTTCCCGCAATATGGCTAGGCCAAGAAAAATTCGTATAAATTGAAGTGATGCAGAATCAGAATAAATGACATTTTGTTTCTTTTGAAAGATATGCTGACACCGTATCAATATTCATTTATAAATATATCAAATTGACTATTTAATATACGTGACATTAAATTATTCATCTAAAGTCGTGTTTTTTTTCATTAAATTAATTTTTAAAATAATATAGTATGAATTTTTAAAAGATGAAATTGATGATATTAATTATTATTTAAGAAACAAATTTAGGGCACTGATAAATGGAGAAGAATTATAATGTTGTAAATATCTTTAAAAGAATAAGATGAGGGTTTAGTTTTTATTTTGAAAGAGATTAATCATTGTTCAGAATATTAAGATATCTTTTCGCTTAAGTACTTTTTCTACATTCTCAAACTCTAGGTGAAGGATTCGCTTATAAATTTTTTTTACAAATTATATTAAGTATGATCCATTTTACACTATTGATTGAAATATGACCGGTCATACTTAATATAATTTATAAAAATTTGTAAATATAATCTTTCCCTGAGGTACTCAACTAGTGTTTACCCCTTTTGGTGTTTTTTTGGTGCTGGAAACAAAACAGAAACGTGGACTGAAGTTAAGAAATTATTTCACCACACAAAATTTAGTATAAACATTCTTTTTTTAATAAAACAAGAATCTTTCAAGAAGTGTCTTCAGGCCTGGAACAAATCTCTACTGAAACATCTAATGGTGTTGCCTTGACCGCAAGTGCTTTTAGATGAAATAATTAATCTGAATAAATTATTTTGCTAATTATAAATCAGTTAAAAATCTTATAAAAATTAAAGGTGTCAAATTTTTTTTTTTCTGGTGAAGTGCTTTTAAAAGTACAATTATCAACTCTGTTTCCAAAAATATTTTTGAGGATATGAACCTTTTGACAATTCATTCGTCTCATGATTCATATTGTCACTTAAGACAAATCTTAGGATAAATCATCCCAATTTAAAATTTTAACGTGAAGTAAAAATTTGATAAACTTTTATTAAAATGTGTGGCTTGACTAATACTTTTTTTTAGGATGGATTAAAAACTGGGGGGGTGGGACATTTCATGTGTAAAGTTCATTTTTAATTTTGGTTGCATTTTTCATATTCAAATGCTAGGTAATACTTGATTAATGATACAGGACATACCATATTCCTTTCACTACCACAATTGTTATTCTGCCTATTTGTTTTTATTTGAAAAAATATTGAGAAAATCTTTTTGGTTGAGAAAATCCGTCTTTGAAAAACAGAAATAGATTAAGGAGTCTATTACGAGTAGGGAATGTGTTAGCATCCTACACCGTCCGTTTTAAAAAATAGTTACCTTATATTAATTGTACAAATTATTCATAAAATTTTAAATATTTATTTCACCCTAAAGAATAAAACAAAATCGATTAAAGGAAAGAAGACTAGTTTTTGAAAATGAGTTCAATTTCACCCTACAATCTCACTTGCTTATGCATACTCTGTTTTGTGTTTTTTATTTATATATTTAAAAATGAATTCACATTCTAATTCTGTTCGTGTTGTTCTATATTATAATGGTATAAAAGTGGAAGGTTGACATGGAGTAGTTTTTGAAGGCGAAAAGGCCTACACGCATAATGCACAACTCAATAGTTAGCGAACTACATCAAAAAATTCGTCAAAAATTAGCTCTTGAAGGTAAGCAATCTATCAATTTGATCACTGCAAGAATATGGTGCAAATCACAATACATTAGTATGCAAGTAGTGGATGATGCCCCGGAACATCATGACATCATGCAAATCACCCTAAATGAAATTGATTAAAAAGTTGAAACAGATCCTCTTAAATAAACTAACGAACCTATCCTTAGGTGTTTGGCCTAGTATCGCGAGGTTAAATATTATTCAAAACAAAATAAGAGAGGAAGAAGAAGATGAAAAGAAAAAAGTGCAGAATTTCGAATTTCAGAGAAAACTCAAACAATCGTCTAATTCCAAAATTTGACTACCGAAGGGTTTCCTAAAGTTTCCTTTAAATAACTCACATTCAGAACGGGTTAGGGTTCCACCACTTCGCCCTATACATAAAATAAAAATTTAGTAAAATAAAATAAAACATTAGGCCCTAAACACATTAGGTTTTAATTTAATTTACAAGTCCAAACGTCAAAATAAATTTTCGGCAAAACATGTCCATCTTGAGCTCAGGTTTTGACCATCTTTCCATCTGAATTGGGCTTCAGTATCTGAAATAGAGATTGAAGAAATTTCTGTTAGCTGCAAAACGCAATGAGAATGGAGTCAATCGGACATATGTTAGAGTGAGATATGGCCAAAATATTAAGTAGTGTAAATCTGGAAAATTATGACAAAAATCAATTAAACTCAATCAAGATCTAGAATTCAATTTGACCCAAAAGACCTTTATTTAACTCAAATAAATTCTAAAAATACTAACCAAGAGTAATAAATAAGTGTAACAAAATATGTGTTATCAACTACATTGTATCATCTCACTTCAGCTCCTTAATAATTTTTTGTATCATGATAATTATTAAAAAATTTATTAAATATTTATAAAAAAAAATACAATCAACAACCAATAAAATATGAAGAGAATTATCCTTGATGTCAAAAGAATTGAAAAAGAGATAATAACAAATTTAACTAGCGTTAAATTAATAATTGTTAACAAACTCAAAGTATAAAACCAACCAAATGCACTTAAAAGCAAAATTTGGAATTTTCATGCAGCGTAGAATTCTTTAACTTGTAAAATAATATACATTAGTTTATAAAAAAAATATCTGTAATATAATTTTCTTTGTTCTGGAAAATATATTTCAAGAAAATATATCTAAAATTATACATATAATTAAGAAATCATAAAATAAAATAAGCAAAAAAAAAATCACCAATCAAACAAGTTTTTTTGTTTTTATTCTTAAAAAAATGTTTTTAGAACAAAATTACCAAGCAAATATTTTTTTTGTACAACTTTTAAAACTCCTTTAAAAACAATTTTATCAAACATATTTTTTGTTCTTTATTCTGAAAAACAGTTCTTACAAACTGTTTTAAGAATAAAAAACCAGAAAGAACAATATCAAACATGCCCATAGTTTCTTGTTTTTGAATTCTCCAATTCATGGCACTAATAATTTTTCCATAATTATCTATACCATTATAAGAAAAAAAATTATTTGGTAATAATATTTTTGTAAATATTATTATTAGTTGATTAAATTTAAATACAAAAATTAACAATTGATTGTGATCCTAAGTAAGCCGTGCTCTTTTTACTAAAATTCAAACTTTAAAAAATGTAATTATGAAATTATATCATAATTAAAATTGTATTAAAATATATTATTTATTTAACTAAGAGAATGAATTATGCGGATAAACCACATTTATAAGGAGGATAATGTTGATATTAACTTGATAACTTCCTGTGTGTTGGATACCAGTTCCATTACATGGCTGATGCAATATG